TGGGGACAGCAGGCAGCCCCAGCAGCCAGGAGGTCATTTTGGGCAGAACACAGGCTCAGTGTTCGCAGCACAAGCCCCAGCGCCACCCCCCTCCCCTGCCCGAGCTGGACCGGGAGCCCGGCTGCGAGGCCGGTGATCACACCGCAGCAGTCCTGCAGCTGCAGGGCTCCGGCCTCACGGAAGCTCTTGCCGAAGTTGGGTGGTTCCGGGCCTTTTTCCCCTCCACAGATAATCAGTTTAATGCAAAAGCATAGAACTAAAACTCCGAGATTAGCTGTTATAATCACATGTAAATACTTCCAGACAATCCGCTCAGGGAGGGGCGGCATGTGTAGTTTGGGACAGAGTTACATGGGATTTAGGCTGTTTACCACTCGATTAATTTCATGACTCCAGCCCCAGACCCACCGTCATACCAGATGCCCGGCTCACTTCCCAGAAGTCAAGGTCACTCGGGCCGGAGGAAGCTCACAGCACAGGGCAGCCGCATCTGCCAGCGGCGACCTGCCCGGCCCCAGTGCCAGGCTCCGGGCCCCCTGCGCCCCAGCCCCGGAGGGACACGCTGGATGCTGGGCAGGCGCTGGTGCAGGACCACGGACCCTCCAGGCAGGTGCACACGCAGGTTTCAGTCCCTTTTTATTCATAAGCATAGTCAAAGCTTGAGAATGTCAGAATTGAACCCCTCCCGCAACCACCTACGAACCAACTCCAGAGTCCATCCCTCTTCAGAAGAAAAATAGAACATCTTCCACCCCTGCTTCTTCCTACTCTGGGTTCCTCCAGTCCAAAGCCCTACTGCTGCCTGCCCGCAGGCCGGAGAAGCCAAGGGAGGGACGGCTGCCCTCCCGCCAGGACCGCACGCCCCACAACTGCGGAGCGGGGAGCGCATGGCTGCGGCCGCACACACACCTCTCACACCGTACCGCGCGGCGGTGCTCAGCCCCATGGCTCTCTCCCAGGATCCTCGTGTACCAGGCAGACACCGATCCAAGTTTGGCCCACACAGACATGATTCAGGAAAAGGGATTTCAGACCATCAAGTGCAACAGGCAAAGAGACCGGCCACACGAGAGCGCTGCCACCGCTCAGCCTGCCTCGGCGCCTCGGCTGCGGAGCAGTCGCTGCTGGAGACAGCTGCCCATGCCGGGGACGATGCGCAGGACCCTCGCGGCGCACGGCCGAGCAGCAGCATGCCCCTGCCACGGCACGCGCAGGCACGTCCCTCGTAGCCCCGAAGCAATAAGGCAACTGCTGGCTGAGGAGGCTCCTGCCTGGTGCAGCTGTCCTGCTCAGCACGGGTGTCCCAGCACCAGCCGGGCCCGGCCCCGGTGCTAGTCTGCCAGCGTGATGACGTCGTAGTGGATCCCCTGCTGCAGCTGCTGGATCTGCTCGGCCGCGGCCTCGGCGGTGAACACGCCCTGTGCCTGGGCCATCGCAGCATCAGCCACTGCTGCAGAGGAGAGGGAGGTCAGCACCTCCTCGCGTCCGAGGGCAGGGGAAAGCAGGTGGCTGCCCAGGGCCCCCTCCACGTTTGCCACCTGCCTCCAGGAGAACAGGCAGGCGTAGGATGTGAGCGCAAGGGCCACCACGCTCACGCGGGGCTCCAGCGGGGAGCCTGGCTCCGGTTAACTCTGCAAACACACATCAGGGCGTCTCCACCCTGTGGAACCTGCTGCACCTCCCAGCACGGCAACTCATCTCCAGGGGAGGAGAGCTGGTACCGTTCCAGAACTGACACGCTCGGACCAGCAAAGATGTCCCCTCAGACACCAAGGCTGGCTGCTTCCCAGAACTACAGGGACACAGGCAGCAAGGTGGCAATCTAGCCTCGCCCACCCTGGCCCTTCCGCCAACGGCTGCTGCGCTGCTGCCCTGCCACCCCTGTCAGCTACAGCAAACGAGCAGCCTCCGCAGGCAGAGCTGGGCTGAGACCACGGCATCTCAGTGGCTGCTAACAGGCATCGCAAACTGCCCGGCAGGACTGGCAACCTGAGACCCAGGGGGAGACGGGACTGCCAGAGCTACGCCAGAGCTCGGCCCTGGTCCTACCTGAGACCGCTGAGTGTGCAGCTGCTTCCAGCTGCGCCTGGGTGACAAGCTGCTGCTCAGGCGAGACAGGCATGTACTGGATCTGCAGGGAGGAGAGAACAGGAGAGTCCGGGAGGGGCAGGGTCCCCCCTGGAGTGCTGCTCTGGCCACAGCTGCTGCAGTGAGTCACCAACTCACATGCACCTTCTATTTCACATCCCTCCCTCTCCAGCTGTGTGCTCAGAGCCCATCTCATGGCAGCCCTGTCAGCTTCAGCCACCATGCCCAGCCCCTTACCTGCGGCTCCTGGAGGAACTGGCTGCCCTGCTCGTACTGGATGTGGGTGATCTGACCATCCTGTACCTGGGGACAAGAGCCGCAGTGAGGCTGCATTAGGGCTAGTGGGCGTCCCAGCCCCTGAACAAAACTGTGACTCGAATGGAACAAGCCACAGGGAGCAGGAGGAGGCTGAGCCCCCCACACAGCCCCCCCCCGAGCCCCATCCACTGCGCAAAGGGAGCAGACAGCCTGAAGCTTACCTGGATGTGATGTCCCTCCGGGACAACAACATACTCATGGGGAAGCAAGTGCTGTACACCATCCTGGGCAATGATGTACTGAACCTGCAAACACAGAGATTCAGACCCAAAAAAGAGGTCACCACTGCCCACCTCCCACACCGCAATAGGGCTGGTTCTTGTCTGTCTTCTGTGCCTGTTTCCACCCCACCTCTCCCCACTGCCCCCAGCTCTCCCCACTCCAGCTGCGCAGAATCTTTTGGTTCCTGGGACATGGCCCCCCCCATCACCTGGTTGTCAGAGGTCACTAAGTGCTGTACTGTCTGTCCATCGGCAGTTGTGATCTCCTGGATGTACGTAGCCTCCTCCTGCAGGTCAGCAAGAGCCCAGCGCTGTCAGTGGGGGTGGGCCTGACCACAAGCCCTCCGAGGAGGGAACCCGCACAGCTTGCGGGGAGCAGCTGCACAGGGCGGGAGGATGAGACCGACAGGCCCGACTCACCTGGCTCGCGACACTCTGCTCCTGAGCAACGATGATGTGTTCCTGCCCCAGGGCCTGCTGCAGCCGCTCGGGAGCCAGCACTGCCTGGCCGGACTGCAGAGCCGCTGGAACGCAGAGAAAGCCGGTGCGGACACTGCTGGGGCTGCCGACTGGCCCTGCTCCCAAGCAGCCCCTGCCAGGTGCCTGCCCCAACGAGGAGCACAGGACAGTCTCTTAGCTCTGCTCACAGAAGGTCAGAAGCTAAACCAAACTCTCCCAACATGAAAGAAGCTAGAGGTCACTGTGGGCAAAACACAACCTCCACATCAGACCGCAAACTCTGCTTCCCATTTCAGCCATAAGCTGCTCACAGCACCACTGCTCCCGCAACGCACTGATCTATTGGGACCTGCCTGGAGGAAACACTGGACCCCTAGTTCTGCACAGAAGTGCAACAGTCAGTGCCTCACCAGGAGAGCTCCTGGCGCCCAGCCCCCTCGTCTCTGCACTGAGTCCTGCTGCTGCTGGCAATCCTAATTTTTGACCCTTCTCAGCCCTGCTTGGCCCACAGGCTGGGTGAATCCCCACAGGCTGGGTGAATCCCCACATGGGGCTCTGGCCACAGGAAACCCGCAGGTCACCCCTAGTCACAGGGACACATCTTACTCTGCAGCGTGGCCAGCGTGTCCTCGTCACTGTTCAGTATGATGGTCTGCTGGGCAGCAGCTGCAGGCGCCCCTGGCCTCTTCCCCTCTGAGCTGTGCAAACGCTGCATGTGGAACTTGAGGTGCCCATTACGGTTGAACCTACGGGAGGAACAGAGTGAGGTGGAGTTTGCCATGGGCAGCACAGGGCCTCCGTGCTCTCTGCAGAGACCCAAGCCACGGGCACCACGAGCACGTCCTACGACATGGCCTGTCTCAGCTCCCAAAACATTTCCATCAGTGCCCAAGTACTGAACCTCCCCATGCACAAGTTCCTTGGAGACGAAGCTGGGTCCACCTGCAGCAGGAACCATTCTCAAGGGCAGAGTCCCCTCTAACAGGGGACTGCTCCCCGGGGTAGGGTCGGGACAGCCAGCTCTTTGCCAACATCCTATCCCCTCTTGAGCCTTGGAAAGCTCCACGGGATCTCTCAAAGCGGCAACAATCTAGCAGGCTTCACTCACCTCTGCCCACAGATCTGGCAGGCAAAGGGCTTCTCGTTGGTGTGTGTCAGCATGTGCCTGCGCAGGTCCTTCTTGTTCTTGGAGGCGAAGCTGCAGTGGGTGCACTTGTGTGGCCGAAGGCTGGCATGCTGGACCATGTGGCTCTGGGGGCAGAAGGACAAGCACAGGGTCAGAAAGCCCTCGTTTCCACAAAGCTCTTGTTCCCAGGGCTGCTCTGTGCCACGGAACCTACCCGAACCTCTGGCCAGAGGGCTGCAGTGAATGGACAGTCGGGACACTTGAAGGTGCTAGGCCCAATGTGGGCTCTCTTGTGACTCTCCATTTCTGCTCTCCCTGTGAACATGGCTGTGCAAATCTTGCATGAAAACTTTTTGGCTGTGGAAATCTTGCATGAGAGCTTCTTGGCTGTGGAAACCTTGCATGAGAGCTTCTTGGCCATGCCTTGGAGCGCAGGCCACTTGACCTTTGGGGATGAGATTTCTTGCCCCTCGGAGGCTGGGGATAAAGACGAGTCCTTCTGGAGCTGCCTGGTGACACACTGCACCAGGGGCCACTTGACGCTGGTGGGCTGTGCCTCCTGGCCCTCCGCAGGCGAGGGAAAGGCAGCGTCCCCGCTGAGGGGCTGAGAGAGAAACACCCAGTCACACCTGCTCACACTGCTGCCCGAGACGGGGAGAAAGCTCAGCTCCTTACCTCAATGTGATGGAACTGGCTCCCCGGTATGCCGGATGACATGATATAGTGATTGTTATGGTCCTTCAGGGCCTCCTCTGTCAACACAGCTTCACTCACCACAACCGCATGGGAGGTCTCTGCAGGGCTCTCCTCCTCACTGCTGGAGAGGACAGGGTCAGGGAGGATCTGCCTCATCCTCCTCACCACTAAAGCCTCCTCACTTCAGGTCAGAATTGCCTCTGTCTCCCCGCTCCTCCCATACAGCTGACCTGTACAGCGTGCCCGGAGCCTGAATCTCCTCACTGATGGGTGTGATGATGCTGTATTCTGTTGTCCCGCCAAAGGGGATCGTGATCTGCTGCAGCTCCGAACCCCCCAGCGTCGCCTCCTCATAAGCCTCTTGCACCAATGTCTCCCCAGGCTCTGCCATGTGCAGCGTTACCAACTTCTGCTGCTGCTGCTCCTCAGAGTCCATCTCTGCCCCCTCCTCCTGTGCCTGCGGCTCTCAGGGGGCCTGTGCCTCTCCTGAATCACCCGGCTTCACCACTGCCACCTGCGGGGGGGACAGCAGCTCAGCCGGAGGAAGGCAAGGCTCTGCAAGACACCCCCTGAAGCGGAACAGGGCTGGGCACTGTGGAGAGACTGTGGAGGGGCGGGAA